AATATAAGGGAGTTGGTCAGGGCCTTTGAAAACCCTATTTACTGACAAATACTCGAAAACGTGCACACGTGTACGAAGATAAGTACCCGCGTCTTTTGAAGTCGGTTTGAAATTTTCGACCTCCGAAGGACTCACCTTTTCCGAGTCTCCTGAGTACTGGGCACCCTGACGGCCTGTTGGATTCTTTATAGCAATACTTCTATTCTCATAGAATTGATACGGGTGTTTCGTCCGAAAAACCGATCTCCTTCTGACCACATCTCTGACAACCGTACCGCGATATTTCCCAAATACAAGAGCGGTTAAGTCGTTGGCTAATTGCTTCATGCCGTTTGTCTGGCTTAAAATAGTTTCCATACCGTTAAAAACGTTTCGCATTTATTGACTTAATAATGGTAGTCAATCCAGGGTCCTCCAGACATTGGGCAATAACTGCACCTCGGACATAAAATGGAGATAGGTAAGTTGAGAAATCACCCTCGCTATTTACTCAAAGGGAAGATATCGGTGGCATCCAAAATTTAGGAAAGAGAACGATCGTACGCAAGCAGGCTTCCCTAGCCGTGTCGACCAAAAAGAAAAGAAATGGTGGATCAGTGGAGCTCGATATGAATGACAACCTGTGTCTGGTGAGGGAAAAAAGAAACTAGACGGGATATTAGCGAGCGCGAAATGACTCAGAGCACCTCGAAGAGACACAGAGGGTCAGATATGGGAGCAAGGGTTGAGTACACTACGAAAAAAAATCTTGCCGCCAAAAATGGCAAATGATCAAGAGACCGTGGTAAGCTGCGAGTCATACGTTAGCCGTACCGAGTCAAACCTTCCTAAATCAGAGAATGGCGGCAGCCGGGATATCCCTGACGAAGTTGTTGTCTTATCTACATCAAAACTAGCATTGAACAAAGTGGTATTGATGTCCCAACCGAAACCTTTCCTGAAGAAGCGTGCTTTGCTATATTAAAATCTCATGCCCAGGAAAACATACTAGTCGGATGCCTCTACACCCATCCAGAATGTAGTAATGATGACACAAGCCTCAACCACTCAATAAACAATAAAGCTAACATAAAAACGGAATATAAGACAATCGCAGGCGACCGGAACCGCCTAGAAATAAACCAGGTCGAATTATCGGCACTTACTAGGCAAAAAAATTGTTATTTCAAATTAACTTTAATAACTGGACACAAATAGTTGACAAACCCACCCCAGGAAACAATATACTAGACGTTATTTTCACCAACGATATCTGGCCCCTCTATATGCACTACGACTGCGTAACCTTTGAAAGTGATCATAAAGCCGTAATATCAACACTCCCCTTAAATGCAAATCTAGCCCCCCATTTTAGTAACACCCACCTAAACCCAAAAAAATTTGACAAAGACTCCATGACCATTGGGTCATTGGACTGGAGCCCATATCTTCTAACAACATCACCTACGGAAGCAGTTAACATATTGTAATCTGTCCTATTTATAATTCGAGATACCTTGATAGACGAAAGGCCCTGTATAAGAAACCATTAATCCCAGACTTTCGTTCAATTTGACTAAAATGCTAAAAAACAGTTACGCAACACCTCTGTAAGTTATTTGTCTACAAGACCTAGTTACGAAAATGGAAACACAAAAAACAATAGCAGCAGAACGTTGACATTAGAATCCCCCGAACGAACAACTCAGATGTTTAAGAAACAAATGAATCATTATGGACAGTCAGGACCACGAACTATGATTAATGAATTCGGACAAGTTATAACAGATGACAACCAAATAGCAAACGCATTTAACGAATACTTCTCAACTAACTACACAGTCGAGGAGGGAGCGACCGCCGAGCTGACCGAAATGACAAGACGCATCCTTAGTAAGATCCGTTTTGGCGAAGAAACTGTTAAAGTAGCCATTAAACAACTATCAAACACCAAATCCTATGGGATGGACAAAATCCCGCCATGTATTCTGAAGCATATGAGATATGCCCCAATGCTTCTGTTTAAATTATTCACCCTACTCCGGCCAAGTGCAATTGTTCCGGACATGTGGAAATTCTCAACCATTGCAACTATTTTTAAAAGAGGCAACCGATCTCATACCCAAAACTATCGTGGTGTTCACCGAACACCGGCTACAGTTAAAATCCTCGAGAAAATAGTCTACAACCAATTGATAGACTATCTCATAAACGCCAACCTCATTCCCTCCTCTCAACATGTATTTTGACCTAAAAAGTCATGTCAGTCCTGCTATCTTACTTTTTGAAATTCCTTTCCAGCAATAGAGATGATGGAAACACAGTAGCTTCCATATACTTCGATCTAAAAAAGGCCTTTGACAAAGCCCCCATAAAGGACTGCGGATAAAGCTAAAAACTCATGGAATTAGGCCTCCCCTTCTCGGTTTTCGTAATCCTATCTTCAAAACCGATATCAAATCGTGCAAATTCGAAACTTAGTCTCAGAACCATCCCCTATTACCAGTGGAGTAATTCAAGGCACTATCCTAGGCCCCCTTCTATTTCTCGTATATATTCGCGACTTATCGTCCATATCTGTCTCAGCTAAGACGTTTTTATATGCAAACGACCTGAAACTTGCATATGCATATAAGAGGAACACAGTTGCCAATATTCACAGAACAATTGAAACTGATCTCAGAAATCTCAGCGAATGGAGTAGTCAAAGGCAGATGCCCTTTTCACCCGAAAAATGCCATCTCCTGATATTTGGCCTACAAAAACTCCTCTCCCCCATAATATTCGAGGATAATGAAATAACGGAGGCCCAATCGGTAAAAAATTTAGGTCTCAGCTATACAAATACCCTTGATTTATCTCCCTACGTCCAGCAAATATCATCGAAAGCCATTCGCCTGTGTGGATTCATATGGAAAAAGTTCATCTTAAATGCACTATGAATACAACTTGTCGAAATGTACGCTTTACCCCTCCTAGATTATTGCTCAGTTTTCTTCGGCATAATGCCCTCAGACGGCCGAAAGAAACTAGAAGGCATTCAGAGGCGTTTTAGTAGATCCTTGTCCAGAAGTGATGGCACCCAGGGTTCATACTTAGAACTATATCATAAATACGGTCTTCGACCCCTCTGGATCAGAAGACTCCAAAATGGTCTAAACTTCCTATTTAAGGTCACCCATGACCGAGATATTCTCAAAATGAATTTACTAACAAACCAAAACGCCCTCAGAAACATCAGAAATAACGAAGATATTATAAGGATCCCCAAATTCACAGTTCCAACGGTGGAAGTTCTACACCATAAGATATGCCACTATCTGGAATGGTCTTCCAAGTTCTATCCGAAAAAGTCGAACCTTAATCGAGTTTAAAATAAAAATCAAGAAATTCCTTTCGAATAACAGTACACATTTATTTATGAATAACATAGGACATTTTTCAAGTCAATTCTTTGATATAGAATTTGGTCCGAAAGGGCTCTGATGATGCCAGCCGCTTAAATAATACCGGAGCATAACATTAAAAACAATAAAATTTACGATAGACAGCATCATTGATAAACATAGAACAGATAGTGATATTCTTTCTTTCCTCCCTTTATCGTTTCTATCAGCTATGTCACCTGACAATAAATATCCCTTAAGGAGCTAATAATAACATCCCTTTCGATAAAACCCTGCATATTAGTCGTACATAAGTCTATATTAAGGCCATATTAAACATATTTTCGACTATATTAGATCGTGGTAAACAGTCGACCACTACCCCCATAATGTCATATTCACAAGAACAATATGATACATGATTCAATATTATTTTGACAGCTTTGATTGTGACTTACCATTGAATGGTTCTTACTCCTGATATATATTCATCTTTTCCAGCTCTTAGTCCAGACAACGATGGTAAGCCTCCTAAAAACATGGAGGAAATGTGCGACTGTCCCTTTACAGCTGGCCAGATATGCTGACAAACAGCAACTAGAAAACATCAAAATTTAGCCAACTGGAAAATACTTTCAAGGCCAGGCCAATATCAAAGTTCTTCACTTTCGGTGAAGGACATATTATTCATGCCCCTCCCCAGATACTGCTAAACTGCACACTTAAGTTTTTATATTGTACATATCGTTCTTCCTTAAGACTTTTGCGTCTATTTTTTCTTGGAACTCAGGTTATTTGAACTTAAAACAATCTCTCAATTCGCGCTCTATTGGCTAAACAGACGCCCAAAACAAATGAAGTCAAAGTGCAGTCGAAAGAGATGAGTTTGTTTTAGGTGTTTTTCCTGTGCTCAAGGGAGACTGACAGTGCCGAAGGGGCGCTTTAATAAACCTATTCTGTTCTAAACGCGAAGAACACGATTGCCAATCCCAGACTGGAGATCATGAAAACACACGAGTTATGAAAGAATTAATAGTTCGTCACATGCCACTCGCAACACGTTCAGCCGAGTTTCTTCCATTGAGATAAACAAACAGTAAGTCCAAGAATAGTTAACATGTAGGTAAATGCAAGATAGTCTGACATCTCTGCACAGTGCGGCTCTCCGAGGCCGGAGGTCGGCGGAAACGACGCCAAAGGACGTGAACAAGTCCGAAAGACAGCGAACGTGAGGACCACAGCGAGTGATATATACGGGATCCGTAGAAGAGTGAATACGTCCTTTGGCGGAAGTGTTGGGGCTAGAGGCGGCATTCGGAGGTAGAGGACAGGGGAGAAGAGGGGAAATACGGGACGACGAAAAAGAGAGTGGAGGAAGTGAGTAAACAGAGGGTAGGCGACAACAAGGCTCGTCCGGAAAAAAGTTCGAGACAGATGCTTTGAGACGGTACACACTCACAACCTCATGATTGGCACGTTGAATGTGGAAGATCTTTATCTCTCGAGAGAGGATCTTGAGATAAGTCGGAGAAGCGGAGGACCTGGGCGGGACCGGAGAATGTGTCTACATTAACTGCGGGAGGCGGTGGAGGAGGTTGGTGAGACCCTCGACCACGCCACGAAGATTTGGCAAGATCATCTCACCAGAAAGTCGGTCTGTGTCGCCAAAGACCAGTTCAGCGGCGGAACAGTCAAGGTTCGGCTTGAGAGCAGAGCGGATGCCCAAGAGGACCAAGGCAAGACGGTCTGTCCAATTCTCCGGGGCTCATGGAGGTTTTCAACTGGTGGTAAAACCGCTCGACCGTCACCTTGGCAGACGCGTGATAGGCTGTCGTCCGGATGCGGGTACAGCACAAAGGGAGAGGAGAGACTGGAAGAGGTTAGACGCAAACTGGGCACCGCGGTCGGTCGTGATAGTGGATGGCGCATCGAAGATGGCAGCCCAACGACTGAGAAAAGTCTTGACCACCGTTGGAGCAACAACGTCAGGCTGGGGGTAGCTTCAGGCCACCAGGCGAACCGATCCACATAGGTGAGGAGATAGGAACAACCATTAGACAGAAGCAGGAGGCCTACAAAGTACAGGTGAACGTGGCTGAACCTTGCACCAGGGCCGGGGAAGGTGCCAGTGAGGGCCGAACCTTGCTCCGTTGACAGGCGATACAAGTCCGTGTCCATGCTTTGAGGTCCTTGTGCTACCCAGGCCAGACGAAGCGGTCTGGAACCAACTTGTCAGTAGCTCGACTCCCAGTGTGATAAACGCTTTGTAGGGAGGAGAAAACTTTGTGGTGAAACGATGGTGACACGAATGGACGATGGGATGGGGTGGATACGTCGCATAGAATGATGCTGTTCCCAGTTTTTAGTGGCATTTTCTGAAGTTGGAGTCTGGAAACATCCTCATCACAGGGTGGACCGACATGGCGGTGTTCAGCGACCATCTCAGTGAGGCCGATCCCGAGTGAAAACTGAAGGTGAGCGATAGAGGGGCAGGGCAGTGCGTTAGCCACCTCATCCCGTGATCCGTCTGAGGCGAACTGCGAAATTTAGTGCAGGTGGCGGATCTCCGGGCGTTTAATTTGTCAGAATGGGACTGCGCAGCAAAGGTGAGTGGCTTATGATCTGTGAGAATTGTGAACTCTGAACCTTCCAGTAAGTGCCGGAAGGTCTTCTCTGGCACAGTGTCGTTTCTCAGTACGCTCATACCCGCTTTGAGTACGCCTTAATTTCGACCGTGGTGGACTAAGGAAAACGGAGACCGACAAAGATAACATCATCGTGACTGCGGGCTAGGGGCGTTGCAGTGTCGAACTGGACAGCACAGCCAAAAGTTTACCGGAGGAAGCCCAGCTCTATTTCTCAAGCACAACCAACCCCATAAAAACACTGTCAGCGAAAGTACTGCTACGTTGTGGGCAATAGTGAAGTCAGGTGCAATATCGCTGGTCGACCGACACATGGCGAGGGCATAAGAGATAGTCATGGCTCGATGCTATATCCTTACCAAGGTGCCAAAAGAAGGCACTCCCCTCCGATCCACGGTACTCCAGTCTGTGGACTGGTAAGGTGGCTGTCTTTGACGTCTCCAATTTCTGACCGGTACTTCAGATTTTATAGGCAGTTCGTCAACATAATGCTTGGAGAACCTGAGAGGAGTAAGCCATTTGTCAAACAAGGTCATGATATCTGGGGGTGCAGCAATCCTCTTTACATTCCGTCCCCAGAATCTGGATTTCGAAACCATCCAACTATGCGCGCAAAACAACTAAGATGATATGGAGAATCCCCTAGCACATGCCCACCTTCAACTGTGTGGCGCCGGACACTAACCCTCGTTTAGAATCCTCTGTACTAGCTACACCAGACTGCGGGCAAGGGTATGGTGTTCATGGCCAGGGTTGCTTACTTCGGAGAGCAATTGTGGTAAAAGAAAATAACTGGCGATATTTATTTGTACGTGCCAGAGAAAGAAAGGAAAAGACCCCACGGCGGCTGTTGCGTGAGGACGGTCACAGATGCTTTAAGGTAGTCATTGGAATTAAAACAGTAAAACGCAATGCCTTTGTGACAGTGCCTGCAAAGAGACATTACATTCATTAACTACTATCATTAAATGGTAAATTTAGTGTTACCTTTTAATTGGTGAAATTATGAATGACCAAAATTTGTGATACCTCAAGATCCTTAGATGATCTACGCTTCTGTTTAACACAAACGCCCCTTGGAGTAAATAACTCTGGTCATAAACGATACTTTTTCCACGTCTGCCATCGAAAGAGAACCAGAATGCCATGACCGCAATCCAAAGACCTGCATACGGGAACATCAAATGGTAAGTTTTCCACCTCTCAATTTAACTCTAACACCTGATTCCCAGCTTCAAGACATACTTTAAGTTCAACGAAATAATTTCTAAGGAGGAAAATGCACTCCGAAGGGTTCGAACGTTTTGGTATACATACTTGGGGCATCCAGAAACGCTTGACGTCGATGGCAGCTTATGGCCACGGACGAAAATTCTCCGCTCGGTAGGTGGACGACACCTTCGTACGCATTCAAGGAAACGAGCTTCTGACTTTAAAATATCTCCATACTCCTTGTTCAGATATGCAAATTATGAAAGCGGAGAAGGAAAGCAACCAGCTGGACATCCTTGAAGTTCTCACCCGCCCTAAACATTATGATGACATAGAAACCAAAATGTTTACAAAAGAGGTAAATAGGACATAAGTATGGAGCTACGACGACAGTCACCCAGTCAGTCAACACAACTGCATATAGCTAATAACGTCTCAGAATACGTCAGCCGCCTTCTCACACTCCTTGGAGTTGTGGTTGCACGCAGACCGGAGACAACCATAAGGCGTCAGCTCATGCAGCCGAAAGAAACAGTGCCACGACAGGAAGCATCTGGAGTCGTTTGCCGTGACTGGGGCAGTTGTTGACAAAGCACACATGTCGGGGAAACTGGAAGGCTGCTCCGGACGTGGACGTTCAAACACCAGAGGCAGCATTGGCAGCGGTGAGGAGGAAGTACGCCATCTCTCAGGTGGCGACTCAGTTGACGGGAACCGATCACATATTCAGGTTCAACGAGGTCATGTGAGCCGTGCACTGCTTGCCTCATGGTTTTCCGGCCCTCAGTTGACTAATGAGTGCAATGACCTCCACTCCATATTCGGTGCTGAGACTGCGTGGGCAAAGTAATTAGTCATGTGGGTAGCGCACGGACGACCACCGTTCCCGTTGCTAGTGTCGGTGAGCCAAACATCCCAAGAACCCACATGATTGATGACGTTTCAGCCATTGAAGACTCGACTGTGGGCAATTGAGCAAATAGCACACCTATGAATGCGTAAGCTGCAAATTTTGACGGGTGGGCTGTGACACAACAGCTGGAAATGCTGCAACACCTAGGCAGCTCGATATCTTTATCCGATTTCGTCTGCGATGGCGAATTGGAGTCTTAATGCGAAATGCCAGGCGAGTAATGTCCTTCATCTTCTTCTCTATTGCTTTCTTGAGCTTGTCACTTCGCCACAAATTAACGACATTTCGATTACCTCTTGGGAAATGTTCCCTACAGATAACACCGTAGGAACCTCGGTGTACAAAGAAATCGCGATCTTCTAGCCATTAAACGTGACGTTGTGGTAAACAGTTCCCATCTCAGCCGATTTTACCAGACAGTTACGTAGAAGATACATATGGGAAATTATTTATTTTTCCATACCTGAATGCAGCGAATGAATCGATCGCTAAAAGCAGTTTCTATGAAAATGAAGCGGCGAATAAATCTAATAAATATGCACCTTTCCTGTTTTATGCGTCCCACTTGTAAAGTGTGTTTGAACCATGATCAGCATGGTAGTAAGTGTGGGTCCGTCAACCTGTTTTCCGCAGTGTAGGACGACATCAAATCTGCCGGTAGCCGATTGGAACGACCTTTCACCCTTTCTTAAAATTTACCATCTGTACAGCTAAAGATTAAAGATTCTTTTTGCGTGGAGCGGAAGTTTTCTTTCTGACGGGTTTGAAGTACAAGCGTTGTAAAGGCGATGCTACTGTGCGCTGCAATCCAAATCCAGATCAACAAGGATGCTGACCGCATTTTCGAACGTAGTTATTTAGGCAGTTAGAGATTCAGACAAACCTGATATTTCATAAATGACATTTCAGATTCGTAGGTACACTAGAGGTCATCGGACAAAATCATTTTGAAAGTCCAGGTTGCTGTGGGCCTAAACATATGTTCATGATTCCTCTGGATTAATACTTTACAAAGAAGACTACTTACCGAAAATTGTTCGTTGTCGACATAATTTTTGTCATTCGACGCAAGGGAAACACTCCGCCTTTTCTCGAGCCCTGTCCGCCGTCAACCTCGTCATACAGATTGCCCCGTTTTTATCGGTTGTCGGGCCTCTCTTCATGCATAGGTCGGACCTCTTGCGCATGTTGACTGATGTCCCTTATCGGAATACTAATTTTGGCCGGCCGCAGGAAATATTACCGGTGTAGGCTGGTCTTGCTTGATCCACGAAGGAAACAACCACACATCTACGGCAGGATGAGAATGTAGCTCGACCTCATGTTCTACTGAAGGAGCCAATCGAATAGCAGCTGGGAGAGTAATATCCTCAAGCGAGCGCACGCGCGCAGCCCGGCGATCACCGCCTCATCGACGTGTGATTCGTCGTTAATTTCTGTTCGTTTTTGACGTCTCCGGTCCAGTGTTGGTCATCGGCCTCCAGCCAGACGGCGACCCTCCAAGCCACAATGACAAACGCAATCTCGATCTGCGCCTGGCGATTCACGTTAGTTCTTGAGACTGTTACTTTTAAAACTCCATTTTAGCACGTAGTGCAGAAATATACAACAAACAGAACAGGAATAACTCTTTGGGTTCGATTTGTGCATAGAACCACCTGCCGTAGACGCCGAAAGGCCAGCGCTTACCCGAGTGTCATACTCCCCCACTACAGGACCTAGAAACAGCTCAGAAGCAACGTGACGCAGTATTCAATGTGAGTCCAAATCCTCATGGCAATGTACGGCCCCTGTGTATCTCTTAGTTTCTAACCTCCTATCGGAGGATTTCTTTGAGTGGAGGATGCATGTCTCCGTTCCGTAGAGGAGCGTCGTCAAGACGATGACCTCGTACATCTTCAGTTTGGTGTTCAGTTAAAGGTCGTGGGTAATTTGACACGTAGGCTTCCAGCCGGCCGAAATTCTGGCTGGTTTTGGAGAGCCGACGGACGTGCTGACGACGAGTCTGCATGGAGGCGTTTTCATGTGGAGCAGGTAGGTCTGTGAGGTGCTGAGTTACTTCACTCATGAAGTGTAGGCGTCGAGGAGGCAAAAATAACAAAGCGGTATTGAACTTACCTGGTGCTTGCTTGCATTGTGATGTCCTGTGGGATTGCGGACGAAACCTCGTGCTGATGTTAGGGAGACAGTGGTTCGTCAAGATATCCGTGTTGCAGATCACCAGTACGTTCTGTAGATCTTGCCTCTGGACGAGAAGGTAGTGTAGCGGGTGTCTGTTGCGTAATTGAGGGTGCATGGAGGTGTCCTTCTTCGGCATCGCGAGGTTTAAGGGGGGTGCTGGCCAACATGAGGCAGTATTCTCAGCAGGTTTGCAGGTGAAGCAGAGTATTGTCGTTAAAGCCGCCGAT